TGGGGAGGGGGCCGGACTGCATAACCCAGGGCCCCAGTGTGAGGAAATAAAGCCTCAAACCTCGATTGAAAATACCTGTGGGGGTTGAGGCGGCGGGAGAAACTCCCAGCCTTTTAGGAGATTTGTTGCAGAAACCCACAGGGTCCTAGAACATAGGCAAATACACCCACCTGGGAATCAGCACCAGAAGGTCCCAATTTGATTGTGGGTAGCAGGGGAAGTGGCTGAAAACCAGCAGAGAGTGGACCTCTTCCCCACATACAGTGTCGCAACACAGCCACGTGGGTTACCCTGCCCAGGGGAATATCTAAGGCTCCGCCCCTCAATACATAACAGGCACATCAAAACAAAACAAATGGCCCAAACAAAAGAACAGATCAAAGCTCCAGAAATAATACAACAAAGCAACGAAGAGATAGCCAACCTATTAGACGCACAGTTCAAAACACTGGTAATCAAGATGCTCACAGAATTAGTTGAATTTGGTTGCAAATTAGATGAAAAAAATGAAGGCTACATTAAGTGAAACAAAGGAAAATGTACAGGGAGCCACTAGTGATGGGAAGGAAACTGGGACTCAAATCAATGGTGTGAATCAGAAGGAAGAAAGAAACATCCAATCAGAAAAGAAAGAAGAAACCAGAATTGAAAAAACAGGAGAGGCTTTGGAGCCTCCAGGACATCTTTAAACCTCCCAACATCTGAATTATGGGGGTACCAGTAGGAGAAGAGGAGAAACAAGTGGAAAAGTTATTTGAACAAATATTAAAGGAGAAGTTCCTCAATCTGGCAAAGGAAATAGACTTCCAGGAAGTCCAGGAAGCTCATAGAGTCCCAAAGAAGTTGGACCCAACAAGGAACACACAAAGGCACATCATAATTACATTACCCAAGAATAAAAATAAGGAGAGAATCTTAGAAGCAGCAAGAGAAAAGGAGACAGTTACCTACAAAGGAGTTCCCATAGGACTGTCAGCTGATTTCTCAAAAGAGACCTTACAGGCAAGAAGGGGCTGGAAAGAAGTATTCCAAGTCATGAAAGGCAAGGACCTACACCCAGGATTGCTCTATCCAGCAAAGCTTTCATTTAGAATGGAATGGCAAAGTTGAAGGAGTTCATCATCACCAAGCACTTATTGGAAAAAGAAGCATAAATGGTAGGTACAAAATAGTATGGGAAATGGAGAAGCCAAAGGACTTATATGTATGACCCGTGGATATGAACTACGGTCCAGGGGCTGGAATGCTGGTGGGTGGGGACTGGGGGTAAGGGCAGAGGGAGATAAAGGGGAGAAAAAAAATAAGACAACTGTAATAGTATAACTAACATAGTATATTTAAATGTATATATAAAATATTAAAAAATAAGCTCCAGTTCTTTGGAGCTTGTTAGGTCTGCTGCAGGCCCACACAGCTGCTAGATCATCATGGTTGTGTGTGTTCCTGGACGAGAGAGAGAGTCACCACAAGAGTGCAGGAGGCAAGTGCATTTCACTGAGAAAGAGAGAACTTCTTTGTTAAGCTAGGTTATTACTACCTTTGGCTTGGGAAGATCCAGGTGCTTCTTCATAATAACCAGCCAACTTCCCAAGCTTTTGCATGCTTCTGATGGGTTCACATCCCAGCAAATGATCCCTTTCTCAGGTTGGACTGACAGGTCTCTAAAGTCAAGCACCTCCACCAGCCCTCCTGCTCCCGAAACAATCCAGTACTGGAGTGGGGAAGGGAGGGCTGTTAATCCCCTTGGAGGAACAGTGCTGATATTCCCTGACATAGGGAATATCATGGGTTGTATGAAGTTGTAGATTCCTGGCTAAGCAAGCAGGCTTATGCTTCCGAGTCCATTAAGCTCAACAATGTTCAATTCTCTTTGCTCCCTCCTTTATTAATATCTAGCTAACTTCCAATAGTAACAGTTCCTTAAAATGTTTTTTTTAATTTAAAACCGCTATTTTTCATATATTTACTACTTTTTGTGTGTTTTTTCCTATTCAGTGGTGCTTTGCCCAGGATTTGAATTGGTGTCTGTTGTTGCATGCATATTTTCTATACCACCTATGAAGTAGCATTCTTTTTCTCAAAATAATCAGGCCTTTAGATTTAGATTTTACTTTACAGGAAACACATAGAATAAAAATTACTTAATGACAAAAAACAAAGAGTGGGAGAAATCCAGAATGTGGGATATTATGACAACTGACCTGATTCCTCAATAGGTCAAAGGCCAGAAAAAGAATGAAGGCATAGCATTCAATAATAAATGCATCTGAGTTGATAAATAAAATGAGTAGACTCTGTACATTGATTTGAACAAACCTTTTGTGAGAGATTTTTATGTACTGATTTTAGAGCAAGGAAGTGTGAGACAGAGACAGCCTTGTTGTTCCACTTATTTATGCATTTACTGGTTGCTTCTTGTATGTGCACTGACTGGTAATCAAACTCACAACCTTTGTGCATTGAGACAACACAGTGATTGAGCTACCTGACCAGGGCTAGTATTGGGAAATATTGAAGACTCATTGGCAATTATTTTATTTGATGTGGTAAAAGTATTATGGTTTTGAAAGAAAAGATTTTTTTATCCTCAAGGTTTTATTGTCACATAATAAAACAAAATGTGAAGCTTAGAACCGGATTATTTGGCCCTTTCTCTTATCTTCTCCCAGTTCAAAATGCATGCATCTCTTAGCCTGGTCAGTGTGGCTGTTGATTGGAGCATCATCCAGTTTGATTCCTGGTCAGGGCGCATACCTAGGTTGCAGAGTCTGTTTCTGGGTCCGGGTGGATACAATCCCTGATACAGACCTGTAGAGGATTCTCTCTTTCTCCTTTCTTGCTTCCCTTCCTCTCTCTCTAAAAGCAATGAAAAAATGTCCACTGATGAGATTTAAAAAATGCTTGCTTCTCTTAATAGCCGTCATCCTATTAGATCTACAAGTAGGCTCAACACATTGTAGCCTCAGCACAATCTTCTTGAGCCTTTAGCCTTTTTGCAGACAATTGGCTTAGTCTGCCCACCATTGCTACTCTGAGAAGAAATGTTTTTCTAAAAATGTTTTATTTATTATTTATTTTTTAGAGAGAGGGGAAGGTAGGGAGAAAGATAGGGACAGAAACATCAACGTGTCGTGGCCCCTCATGCACACCCTATTGGGGACCTGGCCCACAACCCAGGCATGTGCCCTGACTGGGAACCGAGCCTGTGGCCCTTTGGTTTGCAAGCTGGCATTCAATCCATTGAGGCACACCCGCCAGGGCTATTTTCTTAAATACCTGCAATGGAGCTCATTTTGTTTGCTATAACAACTAATATTTTTTTAAAGTTCAAGATATTTCTCTGTTATAGACTAGTCAGTGTTTGCATTGCCAATTTGGAAATTCTTAGCATTTTGGAATGCAGAATTTCATTCCACAAAACAGTGTGAAGAAATCTTAGGTGCCTGTGGATTGCAGGAGGCAAAGGAATTCTATTTATTCCCTTCTCCTTTCCTTCCCTCCTGAGTTGCAGAACTTGGACACCGAAAACTGAGAATTCCTGCCTACTACCTCCCTTCGCGGGATTTCTTTTTGCCTATATCAACATAGGTATTCATTCAGTTGTCATTAGCATGTCTTTACTATTCCAGGTGATTCCTGCCCAAGTAAAGAGGTACATTGTTTATTACAGGAATGTCCACAAGCACCCAACTCTTCCAAAGAAAGTATCAACAGTTTGCACCTAAAGATTCCTTGCCTAGCCCTGCTTGGTGTGGCTCAATGGGTTGGTCGTCCTCCCACAAAGCAAAAGGTCGCAGAGCAAAAGGTCACAGGTTCAATTCCCAGTCAGGACACAGGCCAAGGTTGTTGGCCAGGTCCCCATAGGGGACATTAGGCAACCCTTCAGTGTTTCTCTTAAAAAAAGATTCCTTGTCTACAAAAATCCTTGTTGTTCCCACTAATCCTGAACAAAGCACCATGGCCGTTATGCAATTCTAATCAAGTCCCTCACATTGAAAGATGCCTTAAACCAAATTTGCAATTCTCAATAAATAGCACCTTGCCTTCCTGGCTCTTACACTTTACTGTCCAGGTGTCAAAGCTCTGTGGAGGCGCCGTTCTCCCGTACCACAAAAAGCAATAATCTCCGGAGCGCTAAGAACCTGCCGGGCCCACAGCAGCAAGGGACACCAGGGATGATGGGGATGGGAGCTGTCAGTCTGAGGCTTCACACTGTGCGGGAGTCCCTTCCACTCAGGATGTGCCCCTGACAGCTTTGTACTGTGGAATGTGCTTAATAAAAAACAAAAAGTTGACCTTTGTCCAATAAATTGTTAAGTAATGTCAATAAATCAAGTATGAGTATCATGCAGTACATCTAATCTGGCTTCGTGCAATTGTTACTTCAGCTACTAATCCAACGCCAATACTCTTTAAATAAAGTGTTGCAATACAAAAAAAAATAAATAAAAATAAAAAGCAATAATCTCTGTTTTTATTTTACCAACAGGTGTGTTGATGATATTTGGGGACCGGGCATTTGAAACAAGTTTGTGATCCAGTTTTTTTTGTTGTTGTTGTTCTGTTGAGGCAGCTCAGATTAAGTCACTTACTTTTACGTTTCCAATATTTACCCTACTCTTTGCTTTCCCTAAAACATTTTGTTTTAATATTATTGGCATAGTTTAGGCTTCGCTTTTCTCTCTTACGCTCACGATTTCGAAAATCCGCAACTATTTTCACATAAGCTTTAAGAACTGAATGAAGCAAAAACGAATATGACAGTTAACAGCGCCAGATTAGGAACTCAGACAAAATCCTCTACCAAAACGCTCGCTAGCCAGCACGTGGGTAGCCAGTCCTGCGAGCTGCATCCTGGGAAATGAAGTACAGGAGTGCGTGAAACAAGACGCTCCCCCTGGGGATTCTGGGAAGTGTAGTCCAGGAATCGTGTGTAGCCCGAGGCACTTCCGCTCCCGGAAGGCGAGGTCGGGGTTGGCAAGGTGCGTAGTGAGGTGAGTTAACCCCGCGTCCTAGCGATATATGTGTTTGCCTCGGCGTGGAATGAGCAGTGACTAGGTCCTCTCTCCTGAGCAAGGTAAGCCGCGGCCAGCGGGCAGCGGCAGAGTGCGGCCATGGAGACGACGGCGATGTGCATCCGCTCGGCTGAGCCTACCGAATCTGGGGCGGGCTTGTGTGGTACGTGGAGTTTGAGGGTCTTCAGCGCTCGCCGCTCCCCCAGTCTCCCCGCAGGACCTCCCAGCTAGCTCGGCCTCTTTCTCGCTGTAAAATATCGGGCGATTTCTTTGATCTGTCATTGCCTCAGTTTTTTCATGGCAAAAAAGGGTTAGTCCTTCCCAGTGGTGTTCTTGTGGGAATTAAGTGAGGTTGTATATAAGAAGCTTAAAAATAGTGCCTAGTGCATTGTAAAGTGTTGGCTGTTCACCATAAATTCCCTTGTAAGACTAAGAGAGGAGTCCTATTACTTGGAAGCTCGTGCCAGGCCGGGGTGGGGTGGGAGCTCACTGATCCTGCCTAACGTGGGGCTGTTTCTGCACCTGGTCTCTTTTGAGCTTCTTATTTGTGGAGGGAGAGTAAACTTCAGCCTGGGTTCTGGAGAAAGTCGTCTGTGGATTTTCCCGGACCCAGAAACAGTCGCGATCTTGGATTTGCAGAGTAACTAACTGTCCGTATAGTGAGGCCTTAATAAGTGTGCAATACTGTATAATAAGCCACTCCTGTTGATTTAACTGCCACGGGATTTCTTAGGCTTAGGTTTTTATTAGTCATTATTTTCCCACCTGTATATGGGAGAAGAAACTTTGTTGAGACTCTTCCAGCTTAATAACATTTCAACGAATTACACCTGTTAGGAGGGAAAAAACCCCGTGGAAATTTAACTGTTACCAATAGGGGGAATCTGTGAGATAACCAATCAGAATTAGATTTTTCTAGTGGTAACTCACGGGACAGGACAATCATCTCTGAATTCTGGGTTTCTTAAAAGAGTGATTTTTCTGGAAATCGAATTTGCAAGGGCAGCTTTAGGACTCCTAGACTACTGCTTGCCTTTATCTGCAGGATGTAGGCAACACCGGCATTATTAGTATCCCCTTTACAGGTGATTGGAATGAGGCGCAGAGAGATGAATGATTTGCTCGAGGTTTACATTGCTGAGGAGTAGAAAGTAATAAGTAGAAATGGCAGAATTTGAACCTGGGCATTTTGGGCCCATTAAGGTTATCCTGCCTACCTGCCTGCTTGCATCTCATTTCCTCTAATACTCAGGCTCAGGAATATTCTGGACACTACAAGAGGCACTCAGGTTAGGGCTGTTTTAAGGAATGTTCATGAACAGTGGCAGCTGGCTGGGGGCACAGAGGAAGTGGAGTCCAGTCCCTGTTCTCACTCAGCTTTGTTGCCACTGCTTCTGCCTAGAGAAAGGGGCACCTTTGTGCTCCCATGAAGTGCCAAGTGGACTAGCAGCATCCCTAGCATCTCTCACGATGGCTTTCCCTTCCCAGTTCTGCATCCAGAACTCTGCCTTTCCCCGAAACGAAGAGGAGAAAAATGACCAAGTTCCAGGTGAGTCGGGGGTATGCCTTTCTGTTTCTTAAAATGACATCTCATTCCGCAAAGTTTGGACACATATTTCTCCTGCTTGGCAAGGGAACCAAAGGCGCCAGAAATGTTGTTATGTCGGGTCCTTGCTTTTTTGCTTATTTCCAAATAGCAGTGTGAAAATTAATAGGTATTTTAAAAATTATTTTACTTATTTTTAGACAGAGTGGAAGGGAGGGAGAAAGAGAGGGAGAGAAACATCAATGTGGGGTTGCCTCACACACGCCCCCTACTGGGGACCTGGCTGACAACCCAGGCATGTTCCCTTACTGGGAATTGAACCAGTGACTGGTTCGCAGGCCAGTGCTCAATCCAGTGAGCCACACCAGCCAGGGCAATGGGTATTTTAAAAAAATTAAAAAGAACTCCCACTTTATAAATATGTTTACAAATTTGCTGTTTATTTTCCCATATTCCTTTTCATTTGCATTTACATGTATATATTTGTAATCACAGCTTAGCCATTTTGGATTTTTAAAGTTTAATTTTATATCACCTATGACTCTGGCCACATCATTTTCCAAGTACACCTAATATTTTCCCCCTTTTTATGTAGCTTGTGAATTTTATCATTTTAAAGGTGTTTGCAGTGACAGTGTTTCTACATATAACCTTTCTTCCCAAACAGGAGTTCCGAGAACTCTCCCATTTTTTCCTCTCTTCAAAGTTCTAGGGTCTTAGTTTTCTACTGCATGGAGCGTTACACTTTGTGGAGAGAGTATGTAAAGTATAGCTGTTTGTAACGGGGTCCACCTGATAACTGAACTCAGAGAAAAGAATTTCAGTTGTTTTCAAACGAGAAGAATAAGACTCTTGTCTTTAATTCTAAGTTAAACCATGTATATATCATACTTAAGTATCTGTTTCATTCATTGACATGATTGTGTATTTTAAAGAAGTACATCCCTGGTCTAGGAGCACTTGCCTGATCTTTATTTCATGCAACCGCGGTGTGAGGATATAGATGGTCTTGTTTGCATTTTAACATGAACAGATTTGTGAACTTTCGGACACCTACTGAAGTCTACTCAGTCCCCAGCTGCTGACACTTGTTAACCTGAAAAAAGGTCAAAGTGAGCGGCAACAGGCTTTCATTTGATCCAAAAGAAGTAGCTACTGGGGAAGCAGAGATTCAGGGAGAAGCCCAAATAGTATTCCTGTTAGGAGACAGAGAGAAGGGGGATAATTACATGAGTAGAAAGGAGGTATTTCCTTGGGTGTTATTAAGCTAAGGATGGAATTTCTGCAGGTGCAGATAAGCTAACACGGTGATGCTCATCCTAAAGAATGTCATTAATTTTTGGTCATCCCGTCTGCTTCCGTTAGCTTTGCAAAGGTTATTTAGCCAAGTTACATTCCAGAGGTTTGTGGAGTAAAACTTGCAAGGCAGTTCCTTCTGTATGGTAGCTCCGATTTTATATGAAGTGGATCTGTTTATATTATTTTTTACACACGAATGGTTCAGTTACCTGAGCCAGGAGTTTCAGGTGTCCAATTAGGGTAAATGGAGAGATACAGAAGAAATGCGACTATTGTGCTAAGGAGCCAAGGCCACGCTGTCTGTATACCTGGCTTGTCTGGTGGATGATGGACTCCCAAATTAACACTGCCCCTCCTCGGGGTAGTTTTCTTAGTCTCCAACTCTGTTCCATGTGTATCAACTGGTTTGTTCAGGGAGCCACAGATGCTCAGGCCTCCAGCCAAATGGAATGCAGAGATGAGCAAAGTTCTTTTTTTTTTCAAACAGATTTTACTTATTTACTTTTAGAGAAAGGGGAAGGAAGACAGAAAAAAATGGAAACATCAATTGATTATCTTTCACATGCACCCCAGCCTGGGAGTGAACCCTCAACCCAGGAATGTCCCCTGACCAGGAACCAAACCAGTGACCCTTTGTCCCACAGAATGGTGCCCAACCAACTGAGCCACACTGGTTAGGGCAAGATGAGCAGCCTTTAGATATAATTTTAATTTCCGTAAAGAAAAATGCCATGTACAAAGTTATAAGACAAACAGGAAACAGGAGTGGGAGGGGGTGCGGCTGGGAATTTCTATATGCAAGAAGGCTTAGTATTCTCAGGAGAAATCTTACTGATGCATGAGATTATGAACAAGTGAAATGAACAGGGAATATGTGAAAAAATACAAAGTTGCTAAATAAATGGAAAATTGTAAAAAGCTATTTTTTATCACTTAGCAATTAATGACCCAGCATTTTAAAAAAAATAAGATAACATTGAGTTTTGCCCAGAGTATGGAGAAACAGGGACACTTCTAATCTCTTAAAGGAAAAGTAAATGGGGAAAATTGCCAATTTACTAGCAAAACCAGACAAGTTGGCTGAGATCTGTATAAAAATCTTTCTTTTTTGCAGTATTAACAATTTAAAAATTTTTAAATATTGCATTATTTAATTATTTGGTATGGTTCAATATATTATAGCTCATCACTTTTTTTTTTTTTTTAAGATTTTATTTATTTATCTTTAGAGGGGAAGGGAAGGAGAGAGGGAGAGAAACATCAATGTATGGTTGCCTTTCGTGCGTCCCCTGCTGGGAACTGGCCTGCAGGGAACCTGCCTGCAACCCAGGCATGTGCCCTGACTGGGAATCAAACCTCGATTGTCTGGTTCGCAGGCCCGTGCTCAATCCACTGAGCTACACCAGCCAGGGCCAGCTCATCACTTTTATGAGACACCTTGCGGCCATGAATAATGAGAGTACTGGCTGGCAGTTATTAAGTATTTAACATGGGTCAGATGCTGTCCTAAGTCCTGTACATAGTCTCATTTAATCCCTTCAAGTACCCTGTGATGTCTTGTTCTACTGATGGGGAAATTGAGGTGTTGAGCAGTTAGGTGACATGTTCAAGAAAGCCGGTAACGGACAGAGCCTTAGAGTGTGAACTGAGGCAGTGAGTCTCCAGAGCCTGTGCTCTTAACCTCCACACTGAAAGCTCCTGCATTTGACAGACACAACATGTTCCTAAGAACAGAGAATGGCTTCCGTACCTGCTCCAGAGGTATCCTGAAGGCAAACGCTGTTAGGCTGGCAAACATGGACAGAATAGTGGTACCACTCAGGGAAAGGAGGTGATAGCCACCATTCGATACTGTTGAATCTAAATTAACTCAGTCTTACAGTATCTGGTTCTGTGAGTGTAATTATAAAATGTATGTGCCATGATTTGACAGCAACTGTTCTAGAAGCTTTATTTAACTACATAAAGGGTGCCATGTTAAGTGTACACAGATTTTTTGTTTTCAAACAGTTTTATAATTTTTTAAAATATTTTATTTGTTTATTTTTAGGGAGAGGGAGAAAGAGAGGGAGAGAAATATCAGTGTGGTTGCCTCTCGTGTGCCCCCTACTGGGGACCTGACCTGGCCTGCAACCTAGGCATGTGCCCTGACTAGGAATTGAACTGGTGACCTTTTGGTTCATAGGCTGGCATTCAGTCCACTGAGTCACACCATCCAGGGCCACAGATTTTTAAAATATTTCTCTTGACTCCTTCCTTTCCCACTGTTTTGGTGTGACTGTAGAAGGGGAAGAGGACAAACTCTACCAAGAGATGCTATTCGGGCCCATTAAAGGCTAATACAGCTTCCTGCCTATCTCCACCCTCTCAGTGCTGTCCTCTGCCCAGTTGCAAGGTTCAGTTTGCCTGTGTTTGGTGTTGTAGGAGGCGGTGACGTTCATGGACGTGGCTGTGGTCTTCACGGAGGAGGAGCTGGGGCTGCTGGACTCCGTCCAGAGGAAGCTGTACCGGGATGTGACCCTGGAGAACTTCCGGAACCTGGTTTTAGTGGGTGAGGACAGGCGCCCCCGGTAACATGGCTTCAGCCCCTTGCCCAGGGTTTCTCCATCTTGGCACTGTTGACATTTTCGGCCAGATAATTGTATGTTGTGGAGACTGTTCTGTGCGTTTTAGGGTGTTTGGTAGCATCCCTGACCTCTGCCCACTACTTCAAGGCTTCAGGACCCCTTAGAGACCAGAGTTTTCCAGTGTGTTTGCAAGTAGAGACAAGACGTTTCTAGTCTTTGTTCCAAGGTAAACATTTGACTTATAAATTAACTGTAAATGAACAGTTGGGCTTGGCTGTACCTGCCTCCTTATTTCGTATATCTTTTTAAAAATTTGTGGGTCATGTTCCATTGGTGGGTCATGAAGTGGATTTAGTAAGTTGCATCAAAATGACAAGCACTGGTTTGGGGGAGGGGCAGAGCCTTACATCATGGGATTGGAACCCAAATTTTATAATATTCTTTACCTTTAATGTTTCACTTTAATCTTGTCTTTTCACAGGGCATCAGTCCTGTAAACCTGATATGATAGCCCAGTTGGAGAGAGAGGAAAAGCTTTGGATGACGGAAATCCAAACACTAAGAGGCGGACATTCCACAGAGAGCTCTGCAGCGGGAGTCCCTCAAGGTAACAGCCCATCATTCTCTCTCTGTTCTGAGGGATCTGCTCTCCACACAGCAACCCCAGGGACCCTTGGGCAACATCTGTCACATCCTGCCACCCACTGACTTTCCATTTTACTCAAGACAAAACCCAAAGTATTTAAGGGGCCTGGAAGGCCCTGTAGTGTTTGCTTATTCCCGAGGCTTTACCATTTTGTGTCTTTCTTTTGTCATTTTCCTCCTTTTGATGCTGCCAGCCTTACCTATTTCTGATGTAGAATGCTTATGTCTATGGCCATACCACCCTGAACACACCCGATCTCATCTGATCTAATACAGGGCTATCATGTTTCTGCATCAGAATCTTTTCTGTGGCTGGAATGCTTCCCCATAAACCTTCAAACATGCTTTCTTATTCATATCTCTGCTCAGACATCATGTCATCCAAGTCCTTCTGTAAGCATTCTATTCAGAGTACTGTCTTCTCCTCTCCATGTCTTTAATTTTTTTTTCAAATTTTATTGATTTTATAGAGAAAGAGGAAGGTGGGGAGGGGGGGAGAGAGAGACAGATAGACATTGATTTGTTCTTCTCATTTATGCATTCACTGGTTGCTTCTTGAGATCGAATCCTCAACCTTGGTGACCTTTCACTTTATGGAACAATGTCCAACCAAGTGGGCCACACCAGTCATGGACAGTCAGGGCTATTTTTAATTTTTGAGGAACACCCACACTGTTTTCCACACTAGGAATAATACATTCCCCCTAGGAATGCATAAGGGTTCCAATTTGCTGTGTCTTCACCAGTACCTGGGCTTTTTCCCTTGTTTTTTTTTTGTTTTTTTTTTTAAATAATAAGAGCCACCAGAGCCCTGGCCAAGTTGCTCAGTTGATTAGAGCATTGTCTTGATACACCAAGATCACAGGTTTGATCCCCAGTCAGGGCATATACAAGAATCAACCAATGAATGCATATAAGTGGAACAACAAATCAGTGTTTTTCTTTCTCTCTTCTTCTTTAAAAATAATTAAAAAATAGCCATGCTAATGGGTGTGAAGTGGTATCTTACTGTTTTGTTTTGCATTTCTGTAATGATTAGTGATGTTGAAACCTTTTCATGTGCCTATTGGTCATCTGTATATATCATTTTTTAAACTTTTATCTTTCTATTAAAATTTACGTTCAGTAGTATTTTGTATTAGTTTGAGGAGTACATCTTAGTACAGACAGTCTTAATTTCACGATTCCACTGTTATCTTTTGCTCATATTTGAATCAGGGAGTTTGTTTTTGAATTTGCTTGTTGGTTGTGTTTTTTGTGTCTGCATTATCTTTAAGATTTTCTATAAGCAAGATCATGTCATCTATAAACAATTTTCCTTTTCCTTTCAACTTGGATGGATGTCTTCATTTTGTTTTCTTGCCTGATTTCTATGGTTAGCACTTCTATTACTGTGTTAAACAGAACTGACAATGGCAGGCATCCTTACCTTGATCCTGATGTTAGAGGGAAAGCTTTCACCACTGGTGATCATGTCAGCTGTGCACTTTTCATATAGAGGTATTATGTTGCAGTTTGTTAAGTGTTTTATAATTCAAGGGTGTTACATTTTATCAAGTACTTTTACTGTATCAGTTGAGATGACCATGTTCTCCATTCTTTTGTGGTCTCTATTGCATTGTTGTTGGCTTTTCATGTGATGAACGGTCTTTGCATTACAGGAATAAATCCCACCTGATCATCACGTATAATCCTTTTTGCTGTTGAATTATTTGCTAGTAATTTGTGAAGGATTTTTGCAGTAATAGTTGTCAGGGATATTGGTCTGTAGTTTTTCTATAGTGGCTTTGTCTGGCTTTGGAGTTAGGGTAATGCTAGTCTTATAGAATTCATTTGTAAATGTTCCTTTTGTGATAATAATTCTTTAAATATTTGGTAGAACTTTCCAGTAAAGCCATCTGGTCCTTGGCTTTTCTTTGTTGGCAGGTTTTTTATTACTGTTTCAATCTCTTTACTAGTTAGAGGTTATGTTTAAATTTCTATTCATGATTCAGTTTTGGTAGTTTGTGTACATCTAGGAAATTATTTCATCTAGGTTGTTTAGTATTTAACGTACAATTTTTTTCATAGAATTCTCTTAAAATCCCTTTTATTTCTGTAGAATCACTTGTAATTCTCCTCTTTTTCGAATTTGGCAAAATTCACTAATGAAGCTGTGTGTGCTAGTGGTCCCCTAGAGGTTTTTCATTGTTGAGAAGTTTTTAAGTATTGATTCAGACTCCTTAGTAGTTATAGATCTGTTCAGATATTTTTTTCAATCTTGGTAGATATTGTGTTTCTAGGAATTAATGCATTTCACCTATCTTCTCTAATTTGTTAGTGTACAAAAATATTCATAGTATTTTTTTATAGTCGTTTGTATTTTTGTAAGGTCAGTAGTAATGTTCCACCTTCATTTCTGATTCTAATTATTTTGGTTCTGTTTGTTTAAGTAGCTAAAAGTTTATCAATTTTTTTTTAAAGCAAACATTCTTTTTTTAAAAAATATTTATTTATTTATTTATCTTTAGAGGGGAAGGGAAGGAGAGAGGGAGAGAAACATCAATGTATGAGAGAAACATCAATGTATGGTTGCCTCTAGTGCATCCCCTGCTGGGAACTGGCCTGCAGGGAACTGGCTTGCAACCCAGGCATGTGTCCTGGCTGGGAATTGAACCGCGATCCTCTGGTTTGCAGACCTGTGCTCAATCCACTGAGCTACACCAGCCAGGGCAAGTTTATCAATTTTGATCTTTAGGAAGAACCAAGGCTTGTTTTTGTTGATATTTCTGTAATGTTTTTCTATCCTCTGTTTCATTTCTCTCTGCTCTGATCTTTATTTTCTTTTAGGTTTTTTAGTTTAATTTTTTCTAGTTTTTTAAAAATTGAATTTATCAAGACATTGGTTAATAAAATTATACAGATTTCAGGTATACAATTCTATGTCATCTGTATATTGTATTGTGTGTTCACCACCCTCTTTTTGTAGTTCTTTAATGTATAGAGTTAGGTTGTTGATCTAAGATCTTTTCTAGTGCCAGCATTTACAGGCATAAAAATTCCTCTTAGCATTGTGTTCTCTGCACTCATAAATTCTGGTATGCTGTACTTTTTTTTTTTTTTTTAAGATTTTATTTATCTTTAGAGGGGAAGGGAAGGAGAGAGGGAGAGAAACATCAATGTATGGTTGCCTTTCATGTGTCCCCTGCTGGGAATTGGCTTGCAGGGAACTGGTCTGCAACTCAGGCATGTGCCCTGACTGGGAATCGAACCGCGATTGTCTGGTTCGCAGGCCCGTGCTCAATCCACTGAGCTACACCAGCCAGGGTGGTATGCTGTATTTTTGTTTTTATTTGTTTCCAGATATTTTCTAATTTTCCTTGTGAGTCCTTCTTTGATCCACTGTATGTTAATTTCCACATACTTGGGTTTTCCTTTTGCTATTTCTATTTTTATTCCATTATGATTAGAAAAGATGCTTTGTGTGATTTCAGTCTTTTAAAATTTATTAGCAATTGTTTGTGATCTAGTACATGATCCTTCTGGTAGACTGTTCCATGAGCACTTGAGAAAATGTTTATTCTCCTGTTTGGTGGCGTGTGCTATATGTCTGTTAGGTACAGTTGTTCTATAATATTCAAGTCCTCTGTATTATTTTAAGAAAATGTTGTATTTATTATTTTTAGAGGGGGGAGGGAAAGAGAGGGCGAGAAATATCGATGTGCAAGAGATACATTGATCAATTGCCTTTTGCACACCCCCAGCTGGGAACCTGGCCTGCAAACCAGGCACGTACCCTGACTGGAAATCGAACCAGCAACTCTGGTTTGCAGGTTGGTATTCAATCCACTGAGCCATACCAGCCAGGGCCAAGTCGTCTGTATTCTTATCTTCATTTTGTTTGTTAATGAATATGAAGTGTTGAAATTTGCTACAAGTATAGAGCTGTCTATTTCTTCTTTTAGTTCTGTCAGTGTTTGCTTTATATATTCAAAACCTCTGATGTTTGGTACATGTTTAAAATTGATTTTCTTAATTAATGGACCCTTTTGTCACTGTGTAATGTCCTTTGTGTCTTATACTAGTTTTTGACAAAAGTCTGTTTTGTTTTGTTAGTATAGCTCCCCCTGCTCTTGTTTGGTTACTGTTTGCACAGAGTGTGTTCTATCCTTTTACTTTCTACCTCTACATGTCCTTAGATTCAATGTCTCTTGTAGACAGCATGTAGTGGGATCATGTTGCCTTAATCCATTCTGCCATTCTTTGTCTTTTCTAGTGGAATGTAATCCTTTTTTTCTGTGTCTCATAGCTTTTTTTGTCCTTTTTTTCATCTTTTACTGTTTTCCTTTGTGTTTACTTGAGGTTTTATATTGACATATTTTGATTATCCATTTTCATTTGTGCATATTATTTAGGTGTGTTCTTTGTGGTTACCAAGGAGTTTGCATAAAACGTCCTAGTTATAACAATCTGTTTTAATAAATTAATTTCAACTACTTACAAAAACTTGTTACACACCCTCCCTTAATGTTATTGAGGTTAAAAACATCTTTATATTGTGTACTAATTAACATAGGATTTGAAAGACAAAGCATAACAGTTATAAATCTGTTAACAATAGCAAAAAGTAAGTTATGAACCAAAAATACAATAATGCAGCCTGGCTAAGTGGCTCAGTTGTTAGGAGCACTGTCCCATACACCAAAGGGTTGCAGGTTTGATTCCGGGTCAGGGCACATGGCAGGGTTGAGGGTTCGATCCCTGGTTGGGTTGCGTATGGGAGGCAACTGATCAATGTTTGTCATGTTGATGTTTCTGTCTCTCTCTTCCTTTCCCCATCTTCTCCTCTAAATTCAGCTAAAAAAATCCTCAGGTGAGAATTTTAAAAAGGTCACAGGTTTGATTCCCAGCCAGGGAACATGCCTGGGTTGTGTGCGCTAGGTTCAGTTTGGAGACATGCAAAAGGCAACCAAACCCTTTCTCCCTCCCTTCCTCTCTCTGAAAAGAAATAAAAATCTAAAGAAAAAAGTTAATATAAAGTACCTAATGTAGTAATTTCTTTGGATTAAAAAAAAGAAAATTGAGCATTTGAGAAAACATCTACCAATCTTTGCTGATTAGCTCTTTTCTGGGGAACCTTAATGAGCAGGGTACATTCTAAGCCCTGGGATCTGCCCAGAGTTAGGGCTTGAGGTCTTCCCAGGTCATTTTCTGAGCTGTTGACTTTCCTGGTTCTGTGTATGCCTTTTCAGTTCCCTCTCACATGGATGCTTTTAAGTTTCTCTGTCTTCCAAAAAGTGCTGCTTGAGCATTTCTTGGATTTAGATGTTCTAGTGTGTTCCTTCACACATAATTTCTTGTCTAGGCCTCTGCATGTCTGTAATCCCCACTTCCATGAACAGTGTCTACTGCTGCTTTCTGTTGCTTTTTTCCATTTTGTCTGAGTCAGATAAAGTGGAGACCAGTTCATTGGCATCTCCAAGGTGGGTCAGAGAATTGCAAAAAAAGTCTGCTCTGCTGTATGCAGCTTGAGGTAGGGAATTGAGAAGTGAACCTCTGCATCCTTTAGACCATACCATGCCATAAGTAAAAATGGCAAGGCATTTAAGTAATTGTGTATGGAAGGGAATGGGAAAAAGCACTCACACAGCCTCGGGCAAGACACACGCTTAGAATAGACCTGACAAGACCCTCTCCCCTCAATCTGAGATGGTCTCCAAGTTTCATACCTTTTTTTTTCTTTTTTTTTATTATTTTTTTTAATATAAATTTTATTTAGTTACTTTTCAAGTACATTTTTTTTTTAATCTATTTCTCCCATCCCACCACCCCCCCGCCCGGTCTCCCCCCTCCCTCCCGGTCTCCCCCCTCCCTCCCATCCCCCCCCCAGTCCTCATCTCTGTGTCTTTCATACTTGTTCCTCAAAATCCCTCCCTCATACCTTTTTAAATGTGACTTTTTCACATTTTCATGTTCTCTTGCTTGCTGTAGGTTGCTGTATGTCTTTTGACTGTTTTTCAGAACTCATATTTTTGATAATCTCTAGTGTTTTTTGTCTTTCATTCTTGTTTTTTTTTCTGTTTCATTGGTGGAACAAAGACTTGGGGATTCCTGTCCTATAATCTTGCTGATGTCACTCTCTCCCTAATTCTTTCAGGAGGCAGGTATGAAAATGAGCTGGAGATTCTTCATGAAGCAGGAGTAAGATGCCTTTCATTAGGAGAGCTTTCATGCTGGCAAATCAAGAGTCATGTTGTGAGTAAATTAACAAAAAGTCAAGAGTCCATGATACACGTTGAAGAAAAGATGTTCTCCAAACCACCTAATTCCCCCTGTCAGGTGGGAACAGGAATATTCATGCAGGACAATGTGGACGACAGCTGTGTAATGACTCTTACAGAGAATCATTCTAGTATTAATGAATATCAAGGATTTCCAACAAGGAGAGCTCAGAATTCTTGGAATAAAACATATCTGAACGAGACACAGAATTATCAGGGAAGTTGTAAGCAGATACTAATGAAAAACAAGTTCTGTGTATTTGTTCCACAGGCTAACATCTTCAGTTACAATTCTTACCCCTCTGATGATGATGCAGCACACAAGAGAGATCACGCCCACAGTAAAGAAGATTGTGGTGAGGACATCGCAAAGGTGTCCCCTCTTGTCCAGTTCAGTGTATTCCACACAGGACAGAAAACCTACCAGTGTAATGAATGTGAAAAAGCATTCGGTGATGGCTCCAGTCTTGAGGTCCATCAGCAAGAACACTTGGAAAAGAAGTTCCTTTCACACAGTACACATCAGGATACCAGGTACAACTCAGCCATTCCTGTTCAACAACATGTTCACACAGGGAAAAAACGCTATTGGTGTCATGAGTGTGGGAAGGGTTTTAGTCAGAGCTCAAACCTGCAGACTCATCAGAGAGTTCACACAGGGGAGAAACCGTATTCGTGCCTAGAGTGTGGTAAGAGCTTTAATCAGACCTCCCACCTTTATGCTCACTTGCCTATTCACACAGGGGAGAAACCTTATAGATGTGACAGTTGTGGGAAGGGCTTCAGTCGTAGCACAGATCTGAACATTCACTGCAGAGTTCACACTGGAGAGAAACCTTATAAATGTGAGATCTGTGGAAAGGGCTTCACTCAGAGATCACACCTTCAGGCCCACGAGAGAATCCACACTGGAGAGAAACCCTATAAATGTGCAGATTGTGGTAAACGCTTCAGTTGTAGTTCAAATCTCCATACCCATCAGAGAGTGCACACTGAAGAGAAACCGTACAAATGTGAGGAGTGTGGGAAGTGCTTCAGTTTGAGCTTTAATCTCCATAGTCATCAACGAGTCCACACGGGAGAGAAACCATATAAATGTGAAGAGTGTGGTAAAGGCTTTAGCTCAGCCTCGAGTTTCCAGAGCCATCAGAGAGTTCACACAGGGGAGAAACCATTTCGATGCAATGTGTGTGGTAAAGGCTTTAGTCAGAGTTCATATTTTCAAGCCCATCAAAGAGTCCACACTGGAGAAAAACCCTACAAATGTGAGGTGTGTGGGAAGCGCTTCAATTGGAGCTTGAATCTTCACAATCATCAGAGAGTCCACACAGGAGAGAAGCCATATAAGTGTGAAGAGTGTGGGAAAGGTTTCAGTCAGGCCTCAAATCTTCAAGCTCATCAGAGTGTCCACACTGGGGAGAAGCCATTCAAATGTGACGCGTGTCAGAAGCGATTCAGTCAGAGTTCACATCTTCAAGCCCATCAGAGAGTCCACACTGGAGAGAAACCATATAAGTGTGACACCTGTGGTAAGGCCTTCAGCCAGAGGTCAAATCTTCAAGTCCATCAGATCATTCACACCGGGGAGAAACCATTTAAATGTGAGGAGTGTGGGAAAGAATTCAGCTGGAGTGCTGGGCTCAGTGCTCATCAGAGGGTCCACACAGGAGAGAAACCCTATACGTGTCAACAGTGTGGGAAGGGCTTTAGTCAGGCATCACATTTTCACACACATCAGAGGGTCCACACGGGGGAGAGACCTTACATATGTGATGTATGTTGCAAGGGCTTCAGCCAGAGATCACATCTTGTATATCATCAGAGAATCCACACTGGAGGGAATCTATAGAAGTGTGTGAGATAGCCTTTGGTTAGATGTCCCGTCTCTGTCCATTAGAAGTTCTCTGCTGGTAGCTGTGGAAAGCTCCTTCAGAACCCAGAAGCTTCGAGGGATTGTGCCAGAAAAGCAGCTTTATGAAATGTGTTTTAAGAACTCAGTTGGGAGATGATTCTTTGTAAAAATCAGATTTCACATATAAGAGAAAACTGGTTTTCTAAATGTGGTAAGTGGTTAAAGCAGAGTTTTGAATGTCCCAGTTCTAAAGATGAACACAACAGAATCTTGTATTTTATTAGAGTCTATGGAGAAGAGAGGGCTTATAAATGAAGATTATATACAGGATTCTAACAAAAGTATGATGGACAGATGAAACTGATGTCACCTAAAACATAAGCTCCACATGCGTGGGGTGTTTTTCACCACTGTTTCTTACCTTGTAGAACTGTTTGGCATGTACTAGATGACCAGCAATTACTGAACAAAGTGAAGAAAATCACTATAGTCAGAACAAATATGTGAAAATCTAGCCAGTTCCCTATTATAAATTCATCATAGCATATTCAAAATGAATATTATGCTGCCATCCACAATAATACAAACTAATTTCAACAAGACTTCTGAATGGCTCCCATCCCCCGTTCAGCCTCATTTCATTGTTCAGTGTATTATCTGCGTGAAAAGTGTGCTATTTAATCATTAGTTTGTATTTTATAGACTGAAAAGTACTGTTTTTTCCCCATCTAATTATGGTGAATTTATATAATTGGAAATTTTGAACCCTAATTCATTAAGGTACAGTTTTACTGTAACACTTTGAAAATGTAAAAGTAGTTACTAATGACAAAAAATTTTAGTAAAGTTGAATTGTTAATAATTGGTTTCTTATTATTTTTCTGCAAGCTGAGGTCAGAGTATCTTTTCTATGTAGTCTTTCTTCCATTCACACCTCTTTAGTCAGGGGCTTTGCAGACTTCAAGGACATTAATTTTGTTACATTCCACCCTCATCTTGCTAAAGTAAGGAGGGAGGAAGCAGGACAAGAAACTTGATTGAAATTCATTAAATGTAACAATTTAGATTGTCATTTTCACAGCATTCTGTTTTCAACCACCTCTTTGGAGAAGTAAACAACATTAGCTGGTCAATATGTATCAAAACACCCTTTTACCTAGCAATCCTAGCTTAGGAGAGTGTAGAAAAAGTGAGACAGATCACACACTAAGATGTTTATATTGAATTTCTAAGAAAGGAAATAGGGACTTCCGGCCAAGATGGAGGCGTAGGTACAAACATTGTGCCTCCTCGCACAACCAAGTTTAAAGACAACAAAGTTTTTGTAACAAAAATGCAACCAAAACAGAGAAAATTGAAATGTATGGAAGTCTGACAACAATGAACCATTCAGCCAGACTGATAAAAGGGGTGGAGTCAGTGGCTGGCAGAGCAGGATCACCAGGAAAAATCAGGTGGACCGACCCAGGAGCACAGGCGGCAGTTGGCAGATCCCAGGCATGGGGTGGCAATGGGCAGACCCAGTGAAGGCGCAGGGCAGCTGGCTAACCCCGGGCAGATAAACCAGGCAAGGGAGCGAGCAGTGAGACAAGACTGTGCAGGCTAGGGCCCCAGCGATAAGAATTAAAGCCTAAAAGCCACAATTGGAAAAACTTTTGGGGTCAAGGTGCTGGGAGGAGCTCCCAGACTCACAGAGAGTTTGTTGGAGAGACCCACAGGGTCCTAGAGGATCCACAGGCCCACACACTTGAGAACCAGCACCAGAAGGGCCCAATTTGCTTGCAGGAAGCGGCAGAGGGGACCAAAATCCGAGAGCAGAAAAAGCGCCATTGCCCCTCTCTGACCCCACCCCCACATGCAGTGTCACAACCCACAGACCTGGGCAGCCCCGCCCTGGTGAACACCTAAGGCTCCGCCCCTCATACGTAACAGGCGCAAACAGACCAAAACATCATGGCTTAAGAACAGCTCAAATCCCCAGAGCCAATAATTCTAAGCGACCAAGAGATAGCCAAATTTTCAGGTGCAGGGTTCAAAACACTGGCGATCAGGATGCTCACAGAACTGGTTGATTTTAGTCACAAATTAGAGGAACAAATGAAAGCTAAACTAATTGAAATGAAGGAAAATGTACAGGGAACCAATAGTGATGGGAAGGAAACTGGGACTCAAATCAAAGGAGTGGACCAGAAGGAAGAAAAAAATGACCTAACAGAAAAGAATGAAGAAACAAGAATTCAAAAAAAATGAGAGGCTTAGGAACCTCCAGGACATCTTTAAACATTCCAACATCCGAATTATAGGGGTACCAGAAGGGGAAGAGGAAGAGCAACAAGTGGAAAACTTATTTGAACAAATAATAAAAGAGAATTTCCCCAATCTGGCAAAAACAAAACAAAACAAAAAAAACACCAAAAAAACCCCACCAGACTTCCAGGAAGTACAAGAAGCTCAGAGTCCCAAAGAAGTTGTACCCAAGAAGGAACACACCAAGGCACATCATAATTACATTAGCCAAGATTAAAATGGAGAGAATCCTAGAAGCAGCAAGAGATAAGGGGGCTGTCACCTACAAAGGAGTTCCCATCAGACTCTCAGCAGATTTGTCAAAAGAGACCTTACAGGCAAGAAGGGGCTGGAAAGAAGTATTCCAAGTCATGAAATCCAAAGACCTACATCCAAGATTGCTCTATCCAGCAAAGCTTTCATTTAGAATGGAAGGACAGAGAAAGTGCTTCCCAGATAAGGTCAAGTTCAAGGAGTTTATCAGCACCAAGCCCTTATTATATGAATGTTAAAGGGACTTATCTAAGAAAAAGAAGATAACAAATATGAACAGTGAAAGGACAGTAAACTGACAGTTATTAACAACCACACCTAAAACAAAAGCAAGCTACAGGGACAGCTAAAACAGGAGCGGAACTATAGAAATGGAGATCACATGGATGGATAGCAACAGGGGAGTGGGAGGAGGAGAAAGGGGGGAGCGTACAGAGAATAAGTAGCATAGACAGTAGGTAGAAAATAAACGGGGAAGGGCAAGAATAGTATGGGCAATGTAGAAGCTAAAGAATTTGAGACACATGGAGATGAACTAAAGGGGGATGGAGGGAGGGAGTGTGCAGGGTGGAGGGGAATGAAGAGGTGGAAATGGGACAATTGTAATGGCATAATCAATAAAATACATGTAATGGCATAATCAATAAAATACATATTTTTTAAAAGTAGCTTAGCTGAAACAGATGGTCAAATCAGTAATTTAGAAAACAAGAAGGAAAAAACACCCAGGCACAGCAGAAAAAAGGAAAAGAACTTAAAAAATGAGAGCTTAAGAAACATTTTGAGTAACATGAACTCTCATAACATCTACATCATGGGAATACCAGGAGAAGAGAGTGAGGAAGGAATCGAGAACCTATTTGAAGAAATAATGACTCAACACATCCCCAATCTGGTGAAGGAAAAAGACACACAAGTCCAGGAAGCTCAGAGTCCCAAACAAGTTGGACAAAGAGGCCTACACCAAGACATATCATAATTAAAATGACAAGGCTGAAAGACAAGAAGAGAATCCTAAAATCCACAAAAGTGGGAACTTACCTATGAGAGAGAGCACAGATTAGACTGTCATCTGATTACACATGAGAAATATTTCATGCCAGAAGGGAGTGGCATGAAATATTCAAGGTGATGAAAATCAAGGACCTACAATCAAAGCGACTTTACCCACAAAGGCTATCATTAAAATCAAAGGAGACCACTTGCTGGTGTGGCACAGTGGACTGAGCACCGTCCTAGGAACCTGAAGGTCACTGGTTTGATTCCTAGTCAGGAACCATACCTGGTCAGCTCACCAGCTGGAGGCATGTGAAAGGCAATCAATCAATATATTGTTCACACATGTATGTTTCTGCCCCTTTCTTCCTCCTTTCTCCTCTCTCTAAAAAGTAAAAAAAATAACACTACAATCTCTTAAAAAATAAGATAAAATAAAATAAAATAAACAGCTTCCCAGAAAAGAAAAAGCTAAAGGAGTCGGTTGACACCAAATCAGTACTGCAACAAATGTGAAGGAGATTGCCTTAAGAAAGAGAAAAGAAAAAAGAAAAACACTGTGTCAATAAAGTGTCCCTATGTACTATCTATCAATAATCACCTTAAATATAAATGTCTTAAATGCTCCATCCACAAGGCCTAGGGCAGTTGACTGGATAAGAAAATAAGACCCATATATAGGCTGCCCCACAGAGATCCATCTCAGATTGAAAGGAACACACAGACTAAAAGTACACGATGGAAAAAGACATTTCATGCTAATGGAAAGAAAGAAAGCTGGGGTAGCAGTACTTCTGACAAAATACACTTTGAAACCAAGGCTATAGTAAGAGACAAAGGACACAACAACACAATAAAAGAAACAATCCAACAAGAAATATAATCCCAGGAAACATTTACATTTACACACTCAACACAGGAGCACCCAAATATGTAAGGCAAAATTGATGGATATAAAAGGAGAGATTGACAGAAATAAAGGCATAGCTGGGGAAGTTAACACCCCATTGACTTCAATGGATATATCTTCCAGGCAGAAAATCAACAGACAGTGGCATTAAATGACACACTAGATCAGATGGATTTCATTGGTATCTTTAGAGCATTTCACCACAAAGTAGAACATACATACTTCTCAAATGGACATGACATGTTTTCCACGATAGACCACATGTGAGGACACAAGGCAAGTCTCAATAAATTTAATACATTGAAATTGCATCAAATATCTTCTCAGACTACAATGCTATGAAAACTAGAAATCAATCACAAAAACAACACCGAAAAACACACAAAGACATGGAAGCTAAATAACATGAAACAATGAATGGGTCAAAAACAAGGTCAAGGAATAAAAACATGCTTTGGAACAAATGAAAAAGAGGACACAACAATCCAAAGTCTGTGGGACACTGGGAAAACAATCCTAACAGGGAAAGTCATAGCATTACAGGCCTATCTCATAAAAAAAAAAAAAAAGAAAAAAGGAAAAAGCTGAAATGAACAATCTAACTTTATTTAAAAGACCTTGGAAAACAACGAGGGAAAAGTGAGTAGGAGAAACTGAATAAAGACCAGAGCAGAAATAAATGAAACACGATCTTAAGAAAAAAACCCCACTAAATCCAAGAGCATATTCCTTTATAACATAAACAATGACAAACCTTCAGGCTTATGAAGGGAAAAAGAGAAAGGACCCAAGTAAATAAAATCAGAAATGAAAGAAGAGAAGTAACTGACCCTATAGAAATACACAGGACTATGAGAAAACATTACCAACAACTATATGCCAGCAAACTTGACAACCTAAACAAAATGGATCCTCAAATATCTTCTGATCAGTAGCACCTGGGACTTCCACAGAGATCTGCCAATTCTATCTATTTAGTGGAATAAAATTCACCAACCAGATAAGGGTCTTCTGCATCAGCTCAGTTTTGTCCACAATGTCCAGCAAGATCCTTCTGCCACAACCAAATTCACACAATTGGCTTCTCTGAGTTCTCAAGACCTCTCACCCTTTTGTTCAGGACATTGTCACACCTGGAAGGATCAATATGCCTTCTTTAAAAAAAGGAAAAAAAAATTTTTTTCAAGGGGTTGGGAGGGAGAAAGACAGGAAGAGAAACACCAATATGTGAGAAACACCACATAAGTGCGTTGCCTACCGCGTTCTCCCCACCAGGTACCAGACCGCATTCCAGGAATGTGCCCTTACTAGGAATACAAATTGGTCACCTTTCAATTCACATGCCAGTACTCAACCCATTGAGCCACACCAGCCAGGGAAATCCCTTTATTTTCCTAGAGAACTTTCACCTGCCTTTCAAAAGCCTCCTCAGGTATTGCCTCCAAGAAGCTTTCAATCATTCTCCAGGGATATTTTATTCATCAAACTTCTGTGTTGCCTGAGAGGTGATGATTTCTTACTTGCATTCCTATGGCAGATCTCTTAAATCTATGAAGGGCAGAATGCACAATGAATGGAAGAATGAACCAACCCACGACTGCACAGGGGAGGTGTGGTCCAGGTGACAATGGTGGCTCCCAGGTTAGAGGACTTGGACAGCAGCAGTTTCACTTTCTGAGCACTTCTTCTGGGCCTCTGACCTTACCTGCTGTTCTCAAGCACCTTGAGGACATTCCTGGCATGACGCTGCAGAGAGCAGACATTTCCTGCTGAATCCCTGCTTGGCTGCCCCCTCCTCCACGCCTTCTCTCCCACACATTCCCTGCTAGCCCTTCTTATTCTACCTTATGAAAGAAAAGCGCTTTCTGGTTCAAGCTGAGACACTTGCAGATTCTGAAATGGGAGCATTCTCCCTAACACACGTCTTTTTGAATGCAGTCTTCCCTTTTTAATATCCAAGTGTGTTTTGATTTGACAGACAGCGCTC